ACTGGTGCTGGAGCTGCAGCTCCCACAGTGAGCACCACGTGCCCATGGGAGGCACTGCAGGTCTCTGCAGGATTGCTCTGACTGGGCTCAGGAGATGAAAAGCCTGCAGAGCTGCAGCCTTGGACCACCCATTCTAACGGGCTGGCCATCAGGACATCTGGGGAATGGGAGACCAGCTCCAGGCAGGTCTGTTCTCTTCTTTATGATGCTCTAAAGTCATGACAGCAAAGCTTAAATAGCAGTTTTCCCCTGCATGTTGACAGAGAAAGGGGTGATAACACTGAATTCCTGGACAGAGGCTTAGTTCGTGGAGTGTTTGTCTATGACTTTCCAGTGCTGTGCAGTTCACACAGCTCCCCGTGAGTCCTAAAAAAAATTCAACAATGCAAATAAATTGTCAGATTAAGGCCATGTGGCGCATAATCATCATCACTTTCCTGCCCTGGCAAAAGGAGAGAGAAATAAAATAGTTGTAGACATTATAGAAAGCACGGCAGAAATAAAAATTCCTTTTATGTGATGTGATTACTTTCAGAGAGATTGACCAGACTGAAAACAAAAGTTGGGGAGAACTTTCCTATCATCATTTTCAGAAGTTTCATTCTCAGGAATTAATTTACTTCATGCTCTTCTGGGTGTAATAGCTGCCTACCTAACTGAAGTATCTACCTGTGACTCCAGAAAATATCAGAGTAACTTTTAGTATTCTGTAAAATAAAGATCACTCAGGCAATCCTCCAGTGCCTAGGATATGTTCTGTTACCTGTTATTTTTTGTGATATTTTCAGAGCTGGTTTATGTTTGGTTCCTGAAGTCATATGTAGGCACCTCAGAAAGCAGGTTGGATGTGACTGCTGCTTTAGCTTGCATGACTTTCCAAGAGCACAGGAATTCCATTTGAAATGTTGTTTTCCTAAGTTTGAAAGCAAACCTTTCCCCTAAGTACCTGAATACAGATTTACATTATTTAAAAGTTCTGACCCCCGCTTTCTACATATCTAGGTCTTTATTTATGACTATGTTTAGTTAAAATCCAGTTTTAACTTTGTCAGCCATAAACTGTCTACTTTTATTGAATTTCAACTCAGCATAATTTATTTTTCATCTCATATTTCAGTTTGATAGTTATTTACTTGTATGTGTGCTTTATCCTACTCCAGCCCATAAGAGTCTCAGTGATGGCACTCACAGCCTGTCTGTGCTATTCATAGCTGGACTATGCCTGGCAGAGGAGGGATGCATCAGGAGAAAGCACCAAACAGATACACATATAGACACCAGGTTTTTAAAATGTGTCTTATTTTGTGATCACTCCAACAGTCTGTTGTGTACAGACTTTGGGGATTTTTATAGCATGTTATTAAGTATTAAATAGACTAAAAAAAAATCTGTTGCTGGTTGTGAGCATCAGTCCTTTGAATGGACCAGTAAGCTGATACCCACAGCAACAGATGTCAGGGGCACATATGGTCTCCTACTGCACCAGATTTTATTCACTCACAAACACTTGCAAGGGGGCATGATGGTAAAACCTCCTTTCCCTGTGCTCTCTCCCTCCTCCTCTCATAAATCTGGTGGGTTTTTTTGTTACTTCTTATTGTAAGTTCTCTCTCAAGGTACAAGAACAACTAGAATAGTCTGTTACATAAAGCAGAAGGTAATTTCATTGAAACAACCAAAAAAAAGTATTTTAATGCCCAGTATTTGTTTCCTGAAAGAACAAAAGGCAGCTGCATGGTAATTTAAGCTAAAGCTATCTTTTGAGTTTAAAAGTCCCCAAACATTCAAAAGTGAATACAGATTCAATTGTTCTTTTAAACAATAAGTATGGAACATTTTTTTATTGTTTAGACTCCAAGAAATTTACAACTAAATCACAATTTTTTTGAATAAAAACTTCTATAATGCAAAAGTTGACCAACCACCAGTGATAAACTTCTTTCCTAATTTCTTTATCACATTCCTACAGTATTACATACAGGTGTCTAGGAATATAAACCACTCTTTTGCACAGCTACATTACAGCCATCGGTCTTTATTTAAAAAATAGGGTTGTTTCCATATGGTGTTCTATAACACCTCAGGATGCCTCTGCCTGAGCTGTATCTAAGTCCTTACAGATTATGTGTCACCTATATTGAAAGCAGAATTAATAATGTGGTTGGGATGCAAAACTGGATGTGCACAGGAACAACTGACATTGCGGCCATGGTGTGGTGCTGACTGGGAAAAAGCAGCAGCCATGAGTTGTTTCTTTTTACTCATAGAAAAGGGATATAAACTGAAACTCAACAGAAGGTGGCAGTTTGGTTCCTCTTGTAGCGCAGGTGCATGAATTGGCACTTTCTTCTAAGCCACATCTAAAGAAAAACTTTGGCTCATAATGGATATGCCAAATTATTAAATTTGACAGTAGGCTTAAAATACGTGGAACGACTAAGTCCCTCCCAGGCATGTGTGAAAGGCCACCACGTTCTAGCACCAGCCTTGATTTTGCCATGCCAGCAGTACAGAACAAACGAGGTGGCTCCGTTCCCATGCCGAGGACATTGCACCCGTGGGCTCTGGGGCTGAAGGCTCTCGCTGCTGTGCACAGCAGAGGGGGTGAAGCACGCCCTGCCCTGGTGTGGGGTGGAGCTGGGTGAAGTGTGATCATGATGCTGAATGAAGAGTGGTGACCTTCCTCCTTACCCTTCCTGTGCTACCTTGCACAGATGGGTGAAAAACGTGACACTAACAATACCAAGAGACTGAAAGGTTATTAGGCAGAAATACTTCAATGAATTCATGTTTCAGGTGAGAGAAAAGAGAAGCAAGTTTGCTAAAACTCACTTGGGGAGGTGAGCTGAAGCTTGTTAGCTAAACTGCAGGCAGACAAAGCAGCACAGCTTGCCTGTGCTCACTGAAGGGCAGTGTCAGAGAAGCTATTGTGGACTTGTTGCAGCTTGCAGGTACCATGCAGAATTCCAATTGGCTGTAATTGGATTTGCCAGGGGGGCTGCAAGAATAGACATAAGCCTGGTGTCTGTGCATGAACATGAAGGAGAGTATCAGGCCACAGCTCTGGCCATTTGCTAAATTTCCTCTGTTGTCCAGCTACGGTGAGTAAACACAGAGGTCATGACCAAGGCTGATTCACTTCAGTTTTGTGAAGAATTGCTGAAAATTTTACAAATCACCTGTCTTTAATGTCCACTACATGCAGATGACAGCTTCATTTACTGATCCCTAGATAGTCTTACTGCATTGCAGTTTCTGGAGCTCATAATTCTTCTTAGAATTCTCCTTAGAAAGAAATCTGTCACAGAGAAAGGACCACAGGCAAGATTTATGTAATAAGTCTTAGCCTTCTTTTCAAAATACAAAATGCATCTGGATTAATAAACTAGTATGTTTAAAACCGAATAAAAACCCTTATTCAGTTTGAAAAAATACCAATTATAATGGTATTTTATACCAATTATTATGGTATAATTATAATTTCCTTCCAACAAATGATGTTTGAAAGTTTTATGATTGTTAGAGAAAATGTCTTTTGAAGACACCTGCAACTCATACTTTGCAGCCTCTTTAGGTGTACATTTCTCATTCACAACATGCAGACGTTTTATTTTAGATAGTACTTTTTTTCTTCTTTTAAAAAACCATTTCTCTTCATTTGAAGAATGTGCATATTGCTTTGTTCTTCACCATAGAACATTTCTCAGACCATTCCAGACCACTTGTCTTTCTTGTCTTGATTTTACCGGGTGATTTGATTTGTTTGAATATTTACTTGGTCAAAAGAAGGGCACAGTGAGCTCTCATCTACTCTAGTTGCCAAACCAGCTTGTGGAGCCATGTGCTGTGCACACCTTACCAGATGACTGGGACAGCCTTTTGCCTTTAGGACTGCTAAATTTAATTATCACTGGACTTTTTCCACAGACAACTAATACAAAGCAGGAGGAATTTCATACTTCCTCCAAGACAGAAAATGATTTTCAGGGTCTGTTGATAGTAGCTGTTTGCATTCATACTAACCAATGGCATTAAAGTTCATTTGAGAAGGAAGATAACATTTACTCCCAACCCTAATATTTTTGTTTTGTAATACTGTGCAAACACCCTCCTATCTAAAAGCATTCCCATAAACAGCTTTATTCCAAATAATATGCACTATTGCTTGCTATTGTCAAAATATGTTATTTTATTACTTGGTTTATTGCTTTGAAAACTTGGTGCATGACGCCAAGTGAAAGACTAACTTTGACTGTAGAATTTAGACCTGGAAACCCCTGTTGGACAATCTCATCCCTCTGACAGGATGAAGTTTTCCTATAACTTCTTCATTTATTGTTTCACTGAATTTTCACTCTCCCCAGAATATAGATTTGGAATGACCAGAGATAATAAGACACATACTGCCCAGTTCCATTACAGGAAATTCTAAAATTCTCTTTTATGACAGTACAGCTCCATGGAACAGAAAGCAATCAACACCATTATTTGTCACTCTCCCTAGGTTTTCCTGTGGAGTCATGAGGGTTTGCATACCAGCTTTACAGTGATGCTGCTAGTGAAGGTTTCTTGTGAGATGCACTAGTTTGATGAATCTACCAGCTGAGTCTCAGTCTGCAGTTGTAAATACTGGAGTGAGTTGTAAATTGAGTAATCAGCTGGACCCTGAAAAACTCTCTGCTACCCAGGACAGATCCATAACATGGGAATCTATGTGTAACAGTTGGCATTTTCTTCTGAGTTCATATCTGTTCAGGAGTTTGACTTTCACTCCTTCTGGACAGTGTGCACAAACATGGTCTGTAACCCAGCTTTCAGTGTATCAGTAACACATTTCGGGATTGGGGACATCTCAAAGAGCAAGTAGTTCTTGGGTCCTTTGCTAATAAATGGGAATGCAACCAAGCCAAGTAAAGGCTCTCTTTCCTTGAGCCAACCTATTCCTTTGACTGGACAAAGTAACAAGGGAATTTTATGACTTTTTTTTTTTTATATTGCAGGTGCAGGCTCTAACTCTGGCATTTCAGCCATTTTCCCAAGCACCTCTGGCACAAGCACTTTCTCACCTTACCAGCATGCTCACAAAGGTAAGAATGCACTCACAGGGTTAATTTAGCAGCTCTTTGTTTTCAAAAGGGCATCAACAAAGTGCAACCAAACTGAAAAGATCTGTTGCTGTTTTCAATGTCACTATTTCCAGATTTCTAGAACTGCTATTAGAAATAATTCAGAGTTCATTTTTGTTTCTCAGTTAATCAACACTGCTGTTTGTCAGCTGAACATAAAAAGGATTTGAGCTGTACCCAGTAATGTCAGCAATAAATTTAGCTCATTATTTGTAGCTTTACAGAAATAGCACTCTGCCTCAGCAAAGCTTAGCTTAGAATGGTGAAAATAACTTTATGCACAAATATGGTCAGTCTCTTATTGAAGTAACACAAACAGTTCTTCAGCACGATCACTTGGCTTTTAAAATCTTTGAATCTGAGAAGACAAAACGGGAAAGGTGCAGTTAATGAGGTACTGACAATGCTGTTCTTCTTGGTATTGTCTGAAAACATGACTGTTAGGATCACATTTTCAGAGAAATTAAAGTTTTCATGCCTTTTAGCGTATCTGTAATTTTCTGCATCCTTTCACACCTTTTCAATTCTAGCCTTTCGCATCCAAGTTTTCATTCTGAATATCTTTTCACCTAGCTTACTTTAAATTCACTTTTTAGCCATGCTGCTTTTTAAGTTTCTGTTAGAAAAACATCCATTATTCTATGTGTGCATTGTGTCCTCCTTTTAACTTAGAGCTTTTGAGACAGCCACAGTTATCAACAGTCATTTTAGCTCTTATTCCCTTTGTATATTTACTGGTTTTTGTCTTGTCAACGCTGATTCCAAGAATGCAGTGCTACAAAAGCTTCTACACTTGCTTATGTACAGCTTCCCACAATAAAATACCACTTCCTACATCTTTGTATCTGATGGACCGTACCATCAAATATTCCTAATGAATACCACTAACTGGTTTATGCATAAATATCAAAATTTTGAGAAATGTTTAATTAACTTGCCTTTGAGATGCAACACTAAGTTTTTCAATGCTTAACAAAGTAACTAAGACTCAGATCAACTAAAGGATTATGCAAACTTTGTATAGACAGACTGCAAACTGTTAACTAGTCTCTGATTCTAAGAGTTGCTCCTTCATTTCTTTTTTTTTTTTTTTTATTCCAGCAGATCTTTCAGGACAAGGACATCTGGCTACAGCTCTTATAATTGCTATGTCTACTATCTTCATAATGGCTATTGCCATTGTCCTCATCATCATGTTTTACATTGTAAAAACAAAGCCATCTGCTCAAGGTAATTGTTCAGTAGGTAAAATTTTAGTTGCAAATGTTATTTTTAGAAAGGTTCAGAGAATAATTAGTGTTATATTTATATATCCTAGCCTGTTGCAAGAGCCACTCAGTAAAAAACGTCGAAGCTCAGGCTAACACACAAGAAGAGAAGAAAGAAGTGCAAGGTACAAGTTGTTTTAGTTTTGCTTTTTCTATCCAAGACAACACTGGGCTTAAGTATTCCTAATACTTTTCTCTTAATTACATTTTCTCCTTTGGAGTATATAAAACCCTCATCCGTTTACTGGCGAATTGCCTATACTAGTTTTTGTGCTTCCAGAATGTCACTTAATCCTCTGATAGCAATTAAAAAAATAGCAGAGAGATTTATTTTGTCAGTGGGTTGCCAGCAGAACTAACTTCTGACATAAGGCACTGGTTTGGAAACTTATTGCCAATTTAAACTTCTCTAATTGTTGTTCTACAGATAATGTTGTGATATTCTCTGAGAAAGAAGAGTTTGAAAAACTTACAGCAACTCCAGCTAAGGCTGTCAAAAGGTGGGTAAAAGATAAATATATTGCCAGTTTCACTGAAATGGGGAGGCACATGGTCGTCATTCATCCTGGTACAGTGGAACACATTAACAAATTTGTGGGTATGTTGGCAAGTTGCTGCAGCAGGGCAAAGACCAGATGCCTGAGTAGGCTCTTACCTCTGGTTTCTAAGAGATAATAGCAGACATTCTGAAGAGACACCTGTGTCCTCCCCATTCCCTCTGTGACCAATTCATCAGCTCTTTGGCCTCCATCTCCTCTTCTGAGAGGTTAATTTCTGGGACTGGAGTGCAGCTCTCACTCACATGGCCTCACTGAGATTCCCCTTCCCTTCTAGGCAGGAAGAGTAAAAATAGCTGCTACAGGCCTTATGGGAACACCTTGTCCCTAGCATCATCTGCATGGCATGGTGTGGCAGTTTTCCTCATCTTGTCTCTGCCCAGCAGCCAAACCTGCCTGGGTAACATTTTTAGGGTGGGCTAAACACTGTCCTCAGTTGGGAAATCCCTCTGTGAAAGGATTCTTGCAAGCTACCTGTGAGTGTGGGGCTTGGTGGGCGTTGCACGTACACACTGGGCTGGTGTACATTCACAAGATTTCAGAGGAAAGGCATTTTACATGGAAAACACTTTTATTTCATTACTCTCAGGAAGCAAAAAGAGGATGAGTGGAGTCAACCCATGAGAGGCTTCACAAAGATAACCATATTCTTCATTTTACAGTGAAAATGATGCATCTTCTGAGAATGAACGACTTTTAAGCCGGAGCATGGATAGTGATGAAGAAGCTGCAGTTGACAAGCAAGGGACTCCAGAGAGATGCTTGTTATCTTTAGTGCATTTGGCCAGAGATAAATCTTCTACAAGCAATAAATCAACTGGGGTAAGGCTACCTTGAGATTTAAAAATTGAGAACCTTTTTCTACTTTTTTTAAAGAAAAAAATATATAAATTATCAACCCCTCAAAATTCATAGTAGGGTAGATCAGACTGAATTACAAGAGCTTCTCCAGACAAATCTGTTATAGAATCTCCTTTGCATAATGACATACATGCATACGTATAGTGTTCAGGGATAGAAGTAAAATTTTCTACGAGACTAACTAATTTGCTTTTTTGAGTATTATATTTTATAGTTTCAAGAAAGAAAACACCCACATAACAGCAATCCCCTGTCATAGCTAATGCTAAGACAGTAAAATAATGAATCAGGCTGGATTTGGCTGACAGCAGAACATCTGAATACCTTGACCCAGCTGCACTGGTATTTCCACGGCACAGACTTCTCAATAATATCTGGTGGTGCTTGGTTTCCATGTGGAATTTTGAAAAACACACACATGGTTTGAAGGTGATTCCTGTGCTCTGAAGGTCACTGTAATCCACTGTTTTGCTGTGGAAGACCTTTGCTTCTTCCTGCTGAGCGTGTACTGCTCAGGGCTTTTTTATCTCACTTGGAGTATTTTAAGGCACAGTTAAGGCCACACCTCACCCACACAACCTTTCAGTTTGTGTTAACATCAAACTACCCTTAAAAAGAAGTTGTCTGCTCTGATTTTTTAGTATTTCTAATTCATTTTAAAATGGCTGTAGCTAGGTCCAGATCACATCATTAATATCAAATATCAGATATGGTTTAAGAAAAAATAGGTTTGAAAATGCATCTTTTCATGTTTGCATGTTTTCAATTGTTGGGAGAATCAGCTCAAAATTTGTTAAACACACCACTTTTCAGCTGAGATCAGACACACAAAATCTCAGTACAAGTTAAATGGTTTTGTAGTTGTAGATATTTATGACCATCTGAAAATAACTTACTATTTCAATGCTCACACTTTAAAGTTTGGGTTTTTGAGGTCTCTCTAAATATCCAACTTTATGATACTTCTGTAAGCACTGGCTTGAAACAGGATAATATACCTTGGGTAGTCATGAAATCACAATATTTCATAAGAAGCAGGTTACCTTTGAAAGACCCTATATCATAGATACATTCTCCAGAGTCATTTAGATAGGTAGCTCATAAGTGCACCTAAAGCATGGATTACTTCTTCCAGACTTGTTCTAACACATCCTCATGGACTAAAGACTGCTGACAAGGCTGAAGACAGACTTTTCAATGAAAGAGCAGATTGCATCAAGATTCTCTACTCCATACCTAAGATGTCACACTTAAGCCAGTTGCCAGAAGTTAGAAAAGCAGTAATTTTCTTCAGATTGGGAATTAAGTGGTGTTACTAGCACATGAAAGAGTACTCAGAGCACTTAGACAGGGATAAAGAAAATTAGAGGCTTGCTATTAACCAAGTCTTCTTTTTCCTAGTTATAAAATACTCATTTGCAATGTGCAGCCACACAGAGGATCATCAGGCTAAACATTTCCTGCTTGCTTTCAGCTTAAGGTTTAAAAACCCCCCAGCTTCTGGCTCTGGTAAAAAAAAGCATCTTGCATAATTCTTCAAGGAATTACTTAACCTGCTTCTTTACCCTAAAAGTGGAGGGAGAATGAAAACAAGCACCCAATAGTTTTCTTAGGAGGAGCTTTAATAAACCCCATTAAATTTCCTGTTTTCAAGGTTCTAAAACAGGTAACCCAAGCCTACAATGGCAACATGACAGACTTAGCACACGTAAATTCCAGGAGGAAGAAGCGAGCGACACTCCGCGCCTGCAGTGCGTTGCCCCACGGTACAATGCGCTCGTGCTGCAGGTGGAGCGGCCACGCTCTGCTCTCCAGCTGCAAGCCCATTAATCCACATCATTAATGCACCTTGCCCTTCACTGCCCAAATAAAGTGAGGGAAATCTTTCCACAAAACAAAGTACTGAAAGCAGAGCTTTTATTCAAGCTTCGTTTGCAGTGAAAAGTGACAAATTTGTGGAGATAATGCTAGAGTCCTGTCAAAAAGACAGCTTTTCAGAAAGTTCAGTCCTAATGAGAGCTGGCTCAGGGAAGAAAATTTCAGTCCCTGAGAGCTCATGACATTTTGACATTTGTTTTCACTCCACATCAAATCCAAAGCCAAAACTTGAGAATATTTTGCTAAATGAAACTATATAAAAGTGTCCATTTTTAGCTTGAAAAATGTCAGGTTTTCAGTCTTGTTCCTTGCTTGTCAAAAATTACTAGATCCCCCTGGACCCTCCGATTTTTCCTCTCCAAAACTTTGCTTTTTTCTTTCTTAATCTATCTGTAAAATATTTCAGTTAATTAGTAATGCACTAAGCAGGTCTACATCAACAGACAGAAAGGAAGAGCCCCTCCTCTACAGTCCTCTTAGATTATTGGAAGAAGGCAATTTCAGTCTGAATTTAACTCCCTGTATTCAGTCCTGACCTGGTTTATCTAGACATCCCTACGTTCATCATTGCATATATGGTACTGAATTTGTCCTCATTCTCAGGAGTTGGAGCAAAGTACTTGCTCTCAAAAAAAGTCTAGAAGTTGAAATGAAAGATCTCTAGCAGTGCCAAGTGAAATTAGAAATATATTTATGCATCATGGAATAATTGCTGTGTCATTTTCTTTGAGTCTTCGAAAAGGACCCTTAGGACACTGTGTGATGACCCCATAAAATTGAGAGGTCCCACAGACTTTGCACTGCTGTCTGCTAATTGTCTGATGTTGTAACTGAAAAATTAATGAAATAAATCTCTTCTCATTTAGATTCAAAGTCGAAGGAAAAAGATACTTGACGTGTATGCTAACGTATGTGACGTTGCAGAAGGTGAGTGTACAATTTGCGCCTGTGTTAAAATATGAAATCAGATCACAAGCATTTGCTATAAAGTAAGAAAGGCCTCTGGCTATCCATGGAAAATAGTCCCAAACCAAAGAAGACACTCTGTAGGCAGTTTTGTATTCAATCCAGGAACCCTGTGGTCAGCCCTGACCACAGAGCTGTCCAGGCTGGGCTTGGGCTGGAGCAGGCCACGGCCTCTCTCCGGGCACGTGCATGGCCTTCCTTCCTGTGGAGAGCAGGAAGAGTTGTGGGGGGCTGTGTTGGGATACACAAACAGACCAAGATGCAGAGAAGCAGTTTTGCATTCCCCATCTAGAGGAAACCTGTTGGTCTTATTTCTTTAGATAACAGATTTTAAAAAGTTCCAAATATGAAAGTGTGATTTGGGGAGGGTCAGGATTGAGGGTAAGACACAAGTCTCAACCTACTCTGCTTCTCTAGATTCTGTCCCACATCTCACAACAAAATGTGGTGCTTCCAGGCTGTAAGTGTTTTAACCCTGTTTAGCATTTGACTGCCTGAACTGTTTTAGCAGGATATACAAATTAAGTTCCCTGCAGAACAGGAGATGTGACTCCATTTACTTTCCACACACACACACTTTGTGTGCACATTTATGAGTATGCTGTAATTCAGGGAGCTCTGTCTCCCATCAGATTATTTCTGATGGGTAAGAAGCAGGAAAACTGCAGAAGTGAAAGTCTGGTTTGGGAAAAATGCTATAGCTGGTTCTCTCCTCTGTTTTCTGAATGTGAATACATAGAAAATATGTCCAGGAGAAAACAGCCTTTTCCCCACAGGATGACTGTTAAATCCTCCCTAGAGATTCACGATAGTAATGACAGTTAAGCACTTGCAGGGATTTTTATGCTTGCATCTGGCATCATTGCTTCACCTCACTTCTCATTTTCCTACAAGGGCAACTTTCAATTACAGATATGTTTCAGCAGCTGCTGGTGACAGTCTCAGGGAAGGGTCAAAGGTGTCTCCGGAGCTCAAACACTGAGCCTGACGTGTAGAAGTTTATTAATGGGGCTGCTCACTAGGGACATAGTTGCAATATACTTTTTCTGACAGCTAGTAAATTGTTGAAGGAAAGGGCAGAGCCATGGGAATTCATACAACCTATCTATTACTTCTTTTCCAGGCAACTTTTTACCCTAATTATGATATCCTACTGTCATTATGAAGAATTTATTTGGTAATACGCAGTAGTAACTTTGGACCTAGACAAAATCATGTACTATCACTTAAAGATTTTAGCTGTATTCATTGCTAACAGTGTAATCTGTTGTACTTTAATAAATGTCAAGACTTGTACCCAGAGCCACCTGACAATCCCCCCCTCCCTTTGCAGGTCTGAGCCCTACAGAGCTGCCATTTGACTGCCTGGAGAAGACCAGCCGAATGCTCAGCTCAACCTACAACACAGAGAAAGCCATAGTGAAAACATGGCGTCACCTCGCCGAGAGCTTTGGGCTGAAGCGGGATGAGATTGGCGGCATGACAGATGGCATGCAGCTGTTTGACCGCATCAGCACGGCAGGCTACAGCATCCCAGAACTGCTCACCAAACTGGTGCAAATCGAGCGACTGGATGCTGTTGAATCCTTGTGTGCGGACATTCTGGAGTGGGCACAAGCAATGCCGGCTCCTGAACCAGCAGAGACATCCTGACATGCCTGCACCTCCACATCAGAAGTGTGATACCAGTAAGCACTGCATCAAAGACTTTGGACTAAAGACCATTGATGCTTGTCCTACATAATTGCTCACAATAGCCAATGGGAAGCTCTTCTCTTTGACTTCTGAAAGGGAAGTAACACATCCACCAAAATGAGAGCAGAAATTATCAAGAAGCTTGGCGTGAAACATGTCATCAAACAAAATGATCACGTTAAAAAGTTACTGGTAATAAGCATAGACACAAACATCCATTTTGCAGTCTGTGTATGAGTAGAAGGGCAAATGACTTCCTGCCTGGCCTTCAGAAAAGGCATTAAATAGCTCTCTGAAAATATTCATGTCTCTTAGGGCTTCACTCAATGGTTCCATGGTTTAACAGTTACAGTCAGAAGCAGTACCACAGCTACAGTTATCAATTAATACACATTAGGCACATACATTTCTATCTGCTCCAACCAGTTTCATTTTCTGCCCTTACTGTGGGTGTGTTGAATCTAGAATTATGTGCATTATGTGCATAGGTGTATATGCACTGTCCTCATACTGACTAACTATGCTACATAGAAAAAGAGTCACCATAACTTACAGACTGAAGTGCTTCAAAACAATCTACATAATGCACGTAAATGCACTCTTGGTCCATTCTGACATTTCAGAAATGATAAATTCAAACTGCTGACTTGCTGAGGACAAGCTGGTTAGCAAGTGGGCAGTAAAAGTGGGCAGTTACTCCTTGCAAGTGGAGAGCAAAATCTTCTTCTTTAAGAAAAAAGCAAAACCAAAACCAGATTGTCCACTACCATTGAAAATATACTTTTCCAATAGTGACATCTATATATCAAATTATATTCCAGACAGAGGAATTCCAGACAACAGTGGTGCACGTGTGACACAAAGAACAAAAAGACTAGATTTCTTTAGAGACACTAGAAATGTGGAGGAAAAAGTGTTTTTAATGCTGTACTCTTGCAAGCCTAGACCATGAGCACAGAATCCACCAGTGACATTAAACTTATCTGGAAGGTAATGCATTACTGTGAGTTTGTGAAGTTTGTGGTTTTCTTTAAACTAATGTCTGATTTTCACAGTTAAAATTTATTAAAATTCATTCAGACCACAAGTCAGTGTCTGTTACCGAACCTATTTGCATAATTTATAGCCAAAATAGTGATGACAGATTTCACCAAGTGCAACCAATATATTAAAAGACATGTCAATTGCAAAGCAGTACTTCTTAAATTCCAAAATGCACAACTGAACAAAATGCTATTAAAAATATTTACTATTACCCAGAATTTAACAACCAGTATTCCATCACTTAGTAACTAGATGTTATCTACGATAGTATCATAATTGTGCAAAACATTTATCATCACCCTTTAACATCCATATTTAGTATTGTTTCAGCACTTGATTTGTATATCAGGGGGAAGTAAATACTGCAACATAAAACCTGTCCCTCTCATTCTTTTTCCACCCTTTCTTTCACTTCATAACACACTCTTCATTAATCTGCATATGCCAAATTTCATAGGATCTTAACTCTTCTTTCAATGATGCAGCAAGCTGCATTTATTTAACTAGCTGATTGATGCTGAATTTAGGTGTGGAATTCCTGCTGTCTTGAAATCAATGACAAATTCATACAGATTTCAAAAGGCTTCAATAAGATTTCTGGATCTGCTTACAGCTCAGCAATCTTCAACATGATTTTCAAGACCATGAATTTGCAGGTTTTACTATTGCTACTAAAATTAAAAAAAAAAAAAAAAAGAAGGAAAGAAAGAAAGAAAGAAAAAAAAAAAGGATCAAGATTCAATTTTTCTTGTGCCAGTGTGTAACTACAGTGTTATTCAGTGGACTGCCTCCTATGTTTTATATGCCATTTAAAACAACACATCACATATTTGTTAAAAAGAAGACAAAGAAGATACAGGAATCTTGTTCTTTTTATGTTTATTGGTCCATGAAATGTTAGGGTTTTGAAACTGATGGTGCCAATGCGAACACAGACTATTTAACATTATTTTATTTAGTATACAGTATTTTTATTATTATACAAGAGATGTATGGGATTGAAAAAAGAATCCTGTAGGTCTTGCCAAAGCTTACTTTCTAATAACTTTGTTTAATGCTGTATATATAACTTATTATATTGTAAAATATGAACATAAAATATACTAATAAAAGAAAGAGGTGAAACACAGTTGTATTAGCCATTTCTTTGATTAAATAGCATATTGCCTTATAAATCTGTAATTAATTATGTTAGCCAAGGGCTGGCAGGCACATTCCTGTGCTATGGGAGTGTCTTGGTAACATACATGGAGCAATCTTTGCACTCCTGTTGGATACTGCTTCTCTGCATCACTTAGGAAACTTGAAGCAGAAACCATTTTGTTAAGAGAATTTGTATTCAGTATTTCACCTCGAAGGTAATGTGAAAATGCCAAGCCCCTTGCCATTCCTCAGAGAATCTGTAAGTTTTTAACTCTGTACTGAGAACTCTGCAGACTCTGAGACTGGTCAGTAATGTCACAGTAACAGTACTCTCATTAGCATGTCTTCATTCTGCATTTCTAAATTAGCAGTACTTCACAACATTACCAGAAATCTTAACTGGGAGCTTTCACTTCATGACAGGATAATTGTGTTCATGCAGTCTTAGGCTGCACAGGTGGGAACACCAGAAGAACTGCAAGCTTCTGTTAAAAAAAAAAAAAAAAAAAAAACAGAGCACCAAGTTGGATTTCTCCCAGACTGAACTACTTACCAGCTTGTACGAATTTCCTCACCTAATCCCAGCTTCCTAGCCTGACCAATGTTGTCTAAGGAAAAAAAGAGTTTTTTCTTAGAGAAACTTGCTGGGCTTTGCAGACTTTCTCTGATTTCAGGTTGCAATCAGGGACTGTCCTCTATGTAGTGTTCAGTATCTGATGGTCCTGGACTGATGACATAAATAAAAAGAAGAGAGGTAAGCTGGGCTGAAAAGGGTAGGTGCCAGATTTGCAGTATAAAGAAACAACAGCTGAATGCCTTTGTATGCTATAATTTGGGATAATTAATAATATTCACATTATTCCTGAACATGTGCATTAATGGCCAGCAGTAGGGGTTGGATTATGAGCTGAAAAGTTCCATGCCAATTCCATTTCTCCCTGTCAAACTCTAAGCTCCAGACAGTTCAGCAGTCCTGCTTTGTATTAGGGAAGGTGTAATTAAGAGAAAAATTCTTACTGTTGCAGAAAATAATTACCTAGAGGTACAACGATTATTCCTGTATGCAGAAGTGACTCTTCTGCAAGCAAGCTCTATACTTGTCTTGATAATAAAAAAAAAATTGAGCCAATGCCCTCATTATATATGGGAGAGGCTTCCTAGTGCACATTTCACTAAATATATTAATATAAACAGGGCAAGAATGGACTGTCACAGGCTATATCTAGTTCTAGATGCATAATATTGCATATATATTCAATCCCCACATCCAAATAAGTGCTTTTGATTATTTATTGTGATATGATTTATAATGCATAGCACCTGTTACCTCAGGCATTAATTTATCACTCTCAACTACTCTTCAAGGACAGAAAAATGTTGATTCCTTTTTGCCACTGTTCTGTGAAACTAGAGTGTCTGAATACTTAGGGAAGAATGGTAAGAAGCCTTTGTATGCACTGCTGCAGAAGGCATCAGTGATTAGCTGTTACACAGGGCACACACAGGCATCTCATTTGTCCATCTGCTTTATTTTAAGAAAGAAATTTTAAGATTTTTTTCTTTAATAATTGAGACTGCTATAATAAGCTTGTATAAGGATTCAAGTTAGTATAGCAAGACAATTCAGGAATTATTTTCCAACTTAATCTACCACATAGAAATAAACAAAAAATCAGGAGGAGGTAGTGCTGAAGACTGATTAGTAGAAGGACAATTGAATCACAGAGGAAAGAGAGTTCAGCATCTGCTTCTGAAATTCAGCCTTGGTGTGCAAGACTGCTGTGAAAAAAAATCCTCCTCACCCTTCCTCACACTTCAGCAGGGAGGGGGACAAATCAAGGAGACATCCAACTGCTACTTTGCAGCTTTGAAGGATCATAAACCGAGAAATTATGTTTAACTGCATTTCTTATATAAATAACTCTTGACTCCATGCACTAGAATATTGATTCTTTCGAAGCAGAAAACCAGTCTGGCAACACTAGTTACCTCCAGCCTTCTTCAAAAGCCTGCTACTTTTCCAAAAAGCTGATGTGTGGGTGGGATATTACGCTCCTGTTTGAAAATCTACCATATGATACTTTTTTTTCCCCTGAGGCTGGATAGATTATTTTTACTGTACTAAGGATGTACATAATTAACTGTTCTAAGGATGCCATTTTATGGACCTGAAAATGATCTTAAAGTAAACTTATTAGTAAGAATGTTTTTTGTGCTGACCTTTCAACTATTGTTAGCAGTATCCTGGCCACTGAATTTGCGGCCCTAGCTTGGGTACATCTATCAGAGCAATTACTTACCATTAAGCTGCAGTGATCAGAGAGACATGTTATATTCAGGGAAATATTCCTTGGGTCCAGTCTAAATATGCTTGAGTAATGGGCACAAAGAGAACTGGTTTCTGGGAAAAAAATATATATGGCTTCTCACATCTCTTTTCCTCAGTTAATTCTCTCAGTGTGACTTTAGAGATCAGAATGTCTTATGTCTTGTTAATTTTCAACTCAGGATGACTCAAAAAAAAAGTACCTACAAGCAAGTAAACAGAAAGTGATTTTGTTCAAAGTTATCTCTTCTAGTAGTAATGAGGGAGTCATAGATACACTTACTTTCAAACTTATGTAAAAACCAAAAGTCTAATAAACAAGGATAATCCTAACCATGGTCAGAAGATGGCATTCAAGGGTTTCATCAGCCCAAAAGACAAGATGGATAGTGGTGGTTTTGACACAACACACTACAGGAGTCAGTATAACACATAAAAGTGCCTTTGCCCATCACAGTGCTCTTCAGGGGTGTGGAATAGGCAGGATCTCAATGCTGCGCAGCACTATTACTTTTACAATAATTTCTCTGAGTTTTAAAAATGAGTGAGCATACATCATTCAGAGGAACACAAGGGGTCACTGCTCTGCCACGGTAGTCCCTTTAACCATTTGGAAAGTGGAAGATTACCAAATTGTTTCATAGATCAAAATTTCCAACTTTCTGTACTACATTTAAATACATTACCCTGAAGATAAATGCTTTTTATCAGATCATCAATCTCCAAAGCCATATAAGTTTTAGGTGAAAAATTCAGTATATAATTAAAGGATTCAGTGTAACAGCTCTGAATTATGAGCTCTACTTACAGCTCCTTTTAAATCTGGTCTGGTAAGTTAAATCATATATTTTAGACATTGATGCTGACCATGAATAGAAGTTCTTCAAAATATGTTGCCTTCGGCATACCTTCACCTTCAAGGTAAATTTATCTGCTACAAGAAATCTTTCCCTATTATATATATCAAATTCAGCTACATAACATTAGAAAGAGATGCAAGCCAGTCATGCTCAGGAGAACGGGAAAATAACACTGAAATCCCACTTTCAGACCTTTTATCAGCTGCTGGAAGTCACAGATATGAAGAAACAGAGCACAACTGTGCAGGTTGGGTAATGTTAGCCTACTTTATTTAGCTGTGCCAAGCTTCTGCAAATACAACTGTCCTGTGCCCAGGGAACAATCTTTCTCACAGATTTGCTAAATCTAGGCTTTGTAGATGAGGTCTGAAAAATTTATCAATAGGAAACCTTTTAAAAACATTAAGGGTGATTACAATTCTAAGGTAGACAGGCCTGTAAGAAAAAAAAAGAAAAAAAAAAAGGAAATTATTTTTCATCGTTTTTGGTAGTCTTTTCTGGTATGAAAACTGTCTCAACACAAAGAGATGCAATACTCTTGTTGACTTTCTCATGTTTTTTTCAAAGAAAACCAGCAAGACAAAATTTTGTGTTAATTCTTTATCTTTCCTTAAAGCAGTAGGTTGCGACTGCAAGAAATTTTCTGTTTCATGGCAGTGATGGTAGTTGATCACTTCTGGAGACCTAAACATAAGCCAGACAAGGCAGACTGTAGCCAGTTTGAACTCTGTGTTCTGACTGATCAGCTCACAGGAAGTGTGGGAGTCCTCGCCTTTCTTTTAAGGGCAAGTGGTCATCATGTCTCTCGCTTCCCCTCAAATTCTCTCACAAAAAAAATGGTTGAAAAATTATGTTCTCTGGAAGGATATTAACTCACCTCTTGACAGAGGTGTTTGGCATATCTAAAATAGCATATTCCTCTGCAGGAAACCAGAAAACTGAGATCATATACAGCATGTTTCCTTAGAGAATAGGGAGCTGCAGGAAATAGCTAGAGATACAGTTAACTTTTTCAAATATCTCTTCTTGTAGACAGCTTTCTGGAAGAAAGGTGAAGTAGAAGAAATGCAGATACTCATAGTATCTAAATGCCACAAAAGCAGAAGAATCCCCAGAAAATTCTGGATTCCATCTGTGAGGGAAAGACAACATAAAGAGATGCCCAAAGTGTGGCCAACTTGACAGAAATCTATCATTTCCAAAACCTAAGACAAATCCACAAATGACAGCAGGGAATGCAACTGGCTTCCTCTCTTCCCAATAGAGACTGCCAAGGTCACTCGGGAATGATAACAGGATGGGGATGTTTGAGCAAGGCCATGACAAGGGCTGGTGTGAACAACTGGGGTGGGCTGGCTCAAAAGGCAGATGTTCAGGGCAGGGACGCCTCTCACCAGACCAAGTGTCTCAATGCCCCATCTAACCTGGCCTTGAAAAATTTGCATAAGATCAAAATGACTAGTCTAATGCTTAGGTCATCAGTATAATGCATCAATATTTAACAGACTGGAAAACCCTTTTATTTTGCATTTTAACAGAAACCTAACATTGAGATATAAAAACTTGAAATTAGCTGTGATTCAACTTTTTAGAGTGTAAACAATACTGTATATAAACCACAAGGGACCAATATTAAAAACCACACCCTACTCAATGTGTCTCTTTTAAATGCATTTGCCATTATTAGATGACCACCTTGTGTTAAATTGGGATCCCAGGAAGATTAGTAGATTAAACTACAGCAAGGAAGGCTGAAAACTAAGAGCATAATCAACATTCTTGTGGAGATAAAAAAGCTAGCAACTTTCTACAGGTTTTTTTGGTTATTGATTTTTGTAGTATTTTTAAATGGTAGTAGATGGAGAAGCACATGAGGACTGGGAATATTCTTCCTAAATAACAGGATTTTGTCTCCAGCCAAAGGTATATGCAAGCTTTTGCACTGCTGGTAAATTTGACAGAAACCCAAAACTACTGATGAAGAAATACTTATTTCAAAATGTAATTGATTATCAGAAAATTCTTTTAGCTGTGATTAGTGTTATTTAAAAGTCACCTAGAGTTGGTTTCCTGCCAAGAGAGTGCACAGTGCTCACTCTCTCTTCTAGACATACTTGGTGCCAAATCTGGTGTAGACTCCTTTCATAGAACAGCTTGTTAGAAATGTTAAGTCAAATTGCTAGAAAAATATTTGCAGTTAGAATTCAATTTCAAAGGCCAGTTCAAAGACTTCTGGTAAAAAAGAACAATAACAAAAAAATCCACCCCCCAAAAAAATAAAAAATCAAAAAAAAATTAAAGAAAACACCACCCCAACCCACCAACCAAAAATCACCAAACCAAAAACAAATAGAAAAAAGGCAAAAAATTAAAAATTAAAACTCTGAAGTTTTACACTGATGTCAGTGTTAGTCAAAGACTGAAATACAGCATATCTTTAAGCTTTAACTGCATTTTCAATTTTACAAATACAGGTTTTCAGTACTTACAGTACAAATAACCAATGGAAGACTAATTTTAATTTTTAAAAGTATCCTATTTCAAATTTGTAAGAATTTCTAAACACTGAACTGTGGCAGACAAAAAATATATTCATACTCAGAAAAGAAACATGGGTACCGTGAAGATTGTATTGCAAATTAAAACAAAATACAGCAGAAGCAATAAAATAATTTTATGTTACAGATTACTATTCTTACATTTTAAGAAATGCTTTTATTTACATTTGCAAAGATATTACCATCCAAAGTTGCACTATACAAGGCAGGATAAAATACTAAATGTTACTTAAATACAAGAAAAGATCAAACAAACTCTAAGAAAATTCAGAAATCAAACCAACAAAATTTCTTATTCAATACATCTAGTTACGTTAAATTAAAATCTGGTTTTAATCATTAAAACTGCAGGTTTATCAAAAGATAATCTTCTAAGATACCTGCCTGCTACTTATCAACCATAAAATAAATTAAAGAATTTATAAAACTCTGAAGAGTCAAAAGTAACTAAGATTCATACCTGTAAGGAAAGACTGTTATTTCTGATCTGCTTACTCTAAGTATTCAATTGCTGACATTGCATGAGCCATTCACAACAGCAGCATCATTTCACTTCTGTAGAAAATACTGAAGAGAGCCATCTAGCATATTGCAAAGTTTTTCATTTTCCTTTTTAAGAATGAGTGAAACATAAGTGAGAATCCACATGATACACAGCAAATACACAGTACTGAGGTGCTGCTTAACATATTTATACAACTCAGTAAAAAAAAAAAACTCCAAATTTTAAGCAACAACATAGGCAGCTGGTATAATTTATACAGAACAATACTTAGATTGAAAGCTCATGCTATTGACTTGTGCTTAGACTAGAGTCAAGAGAGTTACTCCTCAAGAATTCCAAATTCAGCAGAATTGAATTGAGGTTTATGCAGAGGAAGGTGTGATCTGGATCTACAGTTCTACGCAGTTCTTGGAACATTCGATGAAGACCAAACAATTCAAACAGCTTCTTATTGCTTCTGCAAAAGATTTTGAATAAAATAATTGTCAATTTAAAATGGAGAGGTTTCATATAAACACTAAAGATGCTACAGAAAATATATTTTTAATGAAGTTAAGTGTGCATTATTTTGAGTATTTAATAAAATTCTTCTTTGTATGTTTCTAAACATAAGGTTATCAATGCATGGTGAGAAAAATTTGGCAAAAAATTAACAAAAATTATCAGTTTTCTTGAGTAAGTGATGTGTACACATAGTATAATGGAAGCTCAAGGAAAGTCTGTAACAGGGCTTTTCACTCATGTGAAACAAGATTTCAGAGACAATAAATTTTAAAAAAATAGGATTTATGAGCCAATTTTACTTTCACTAGTAAATGCCAGTTATAATTTATATTAGATTATTTTATAGGAAACCCCTTTTTCCTAGAGTTCAATTTTATTCCTTACAAGAAATGAAAACCTCCGTTTTGTCAACAGCTTTAAGCCCAATGTAAAAATTCCTCAGTTTAGATATCCCCTTATGTAAATGAAACAACCCCACTGAGCAATGTGCCAGTGAAGCTCAGCAGCACATTATTGTTATGAAAACCTTTGTTACAATAAGCCAATAATCAGTAAGCAACACAGTTTAAAAAGTTGAATATTCCCAAAAGGGCTTAACTGGCTCAAAATCTTAAATTTTTTGAAGGAAATAAAAACAGATGAAGCTTGACTGCAAGTCAAAGATAAGACTAAATTTTCAAAGGAGCTTACTACTAAGTATCTGAGTAAAACAGAAAGTCTAGGATTCTCTTCTAAGAGAATCTTAGAAGAATATGAGAGAATCTTTCTAAGCATTTTTGTCACCTGCAGACGTAAGGAATAATTCCTCTTTAAGTCTATATTGTGAGGCTTTTTTCTAGTTTGTACTCTGCAAATTGAACTGATTTATGCACTAATTGAGAGGCTTGTTTTAAATCTCTGTGACTGAAAATTTAACTGCTACAATTAAAAGTCCAGCATTGTATATGGTGGAGGGAATAAACAGAAAAATAGAGATGAGTTCTTGGAAAAGAAAAAAGATAAAGGTCACCAAGTTCATTAAGCTAATAATAGCTAACAGAATAATAGTAATAAAGGGTTACTTTATTCTGGAAAGTTTTTGCAGTATAACACAGAGCTTCTCCAAAACTGCAATATCTAGCTTAGAACTTCGAAGCAATACAGAGCAAGTGCGGAAGAAGGATTCATTACTGCAGGCTTCCAGGAAAGGCTGTAAGGAACCTGGAAAAGAAAATTATTTAAAAACTGTATCACAGAGTTCAGTGCAGAGGAAAATATAACTGCTATTGATACCTTTAGAATGCCTAAAATGCTTCATGTTGTGCAATAATTACAACCACCAAATATTTCAGTTTCTGTTGAACATGTGATGCAAAACTCAGATGAAACTAGAAACTGAAAAAATGCAGGTTCCTAAGAGTTCCGACACTACTGATCCTTGAATTAAAGCAGTGTCTATTCTCTTGAGAACAAAGGAAAAAAAAGGAAACAGAATAATTTTAAACTCAAATAAAAAATCTTGCAATGAAAATGTTTATGCAATGCTCATTTATCATGATTTTTTCCTTCAGACCATGGGAGGGGAACATTAAGCTGAGCAAAAAGACTCAGAAAGAACTATTTTAAACTGCTGCAGATCACATGGGCAGGGACAGTACATATAAGAGATTGTGTGAGACCTGAGAGTCTTTCATTATTAGCATACTGTCCCTATACTCAGTTTCAAAAGAGTAAACACAGTAATTAAGAGGCAAAACACAGTAAGTAAGAGGTAAAAGTAAGATCTGTACAACAATTAAACACAAAAACCCCTCCTTTAAAATAGTGGATGAGTTTTTATGTCACACTGAAAAGCATTCCCCTCTACCCTGTTTCCCAAAATCTAGTAACTTCAAAATAACATTAAATCTGTTCCCTGGTTATCTGATTCTTGATTCTCATATTATAGATTAATTTATAGCAAAAACATAAAGAAAAGAAGTAACAATTCATTTTTCTTTAGAATTAACAGACTTTCATATACCACAGGGCATTTGCATTATGAGAATACACATGCGAGGAAAATATTTTAATTGCACAATGTTAAAATAGTTAATGTGTTCCCCTTATTAAGAAACCACAATATGCAAATTACAGCATAAGTCAACAAACAAGACATTAAGAAAAATTCATATCCTGAATAGTGTAATTTATAAATAGGATATCAAGATGTTTTTATCAGTACAAAAAGGGCTGGATGTATGTTTTGGTCCAAATTTTCCTTTTCCTCATTCAAGGACATATGACTTATTAAATGCAACAAGTAGCCTTGGAGTGAATTCAAGGTTTTAATTTATTTCAGAAGGTTTACTGATAAAAAATCTGAAGAAATGCTACAGAAAACTGTTTGAAAAAGGGCTTAAAAAAGAAATCAACTTGGCATTTAAGTCAGCCTGAGAGCCTAGATAACTAATTTTCTGCACTCTGCATTTATGCTGAATATTCAGTAAGGACCCAGTTATTCCTATTCCAACAAATGACCAAGTGCCACCTCCCTGATACACAGGGAATTCATGAGACTTGTGGGCCTTTGCTGGTTTATACCCTCAAATGAAGAGACTGAGGAACAGCAAATGCCTCTATCACCAATCAGAGAAACTGCAGCTATAAATAATCTTTCCTCTCTTTTCAGCTGAGGTACTTTTGCTCCTTTGACTTAAAACGCTGGATTCAACAGATGGGATCCACAACATACGTAATGGAATGTGTGGATGGAAATCATACAGATGCAGGGTAATAACAGTTTGGTAGCAAGAGGCCAACCTTGCAGCAATAAAAAGCAACAACAACAACTGACGTTCTGTAAAGTTTGGAAAAGGCAGGCAGATGTTTTGTGGTTTGTATAGCTGAAATGTCCTCTGTTCTTCACCCAAAGCAATGCAAAACAACAATTAGTCAAAGAGATATGCATTATCAAGGCAATAAATCACTATAAATTTATTTGCTTTTCTGTTTACATCTACTTCCATGTTTCTTGCATTCTTCCTACCATGTTCAATACACCTATGGTTTTATGCACGTTGTCCTCTCTGTTTTAGTACTACTTCCAGTTAGAATTTGCTGTTTCTAAATTGTAACAGTAATAAATATAAAACCAGAATGAAAGTAAAGTAGGAAAGAAAGCAGTAAAAAGTGAAAAAAAGATAAGTAAAGATACTATTTCTCATTTTATTTTAGCTTGTGGTCTTCAAGGCATAACACTTTTGATTTTTTTTCAGTATTTCTGTTCTTTCTCTGCAGAAGGTATTATTTTTCAGAAACTGTCATATAAAAAACCTCAGGACTATCTGTCAATTACAGCAAACAGAAAATCCTTAGATGAGTTCACCACATGTGCTACATTTAGTGAAATGTGACTGACATACACTCAAGACTTAGGGCTCTTTATTGAGTCACTGCTCTCTGTGGCAGAAATCTGGGGTTAAGTACATACAGCAGAGTCTTAAACCTGGAAAAATAATTAACTAAAATTTCACTTCTGGTATGATGCTGTAATGCCCTAGTGAGTCTAGCTTGTTAAAATCCATGAAAAGTGGAGACAAAACTATGAATAGAAACAGCAAATAAGCAAAGCCCAGTGAACACAATCACGATCTTAAGAGTGCTTCCTGACCAAATATTTCTATCATTGAAGAGTGCTTGAAGTAAAATTTCTGTGAAATAGCAGGAAGAGATAACCTTCTCTAAAGCAATGAAAATCTAGGACTACAAATTATGTAGTCTGTAACTTCATAGTAACTCTGTGGAGCTACAAATTTTAGAGATTCCTCTAAAATTTGCCACAGTTCCCCCAAATGATTGCCTATTCCCAAGAAACAGAAACGGTCAGTCCTATCAACCTGCACTGCACCCCTGATGAAATGTGTTTTAACAACAAAAACTTGAAACAGTATCTTTTACTTACCAAAGACGCTTATCAGAAAGGGAAGAAAAGAATAAATAAATGTGTGAGAACATTTGACATTCAAGAAACAGGCTGAGAAGAAAGGCTTTCCTTCTTTCTATTGCCTGTTAAGACAACAAATGGCTTTAAAAAACTCTTTTAGCATGACTGCTGACTCATCTGACCTCTGATTCATGAGAGATCTGAAGGTAACAAAGACCCCTTGGATGAACAGGGCAATCCTACAATTTATTCCTACAAATACCCTTAAATAGCCAAAAAATGCTTTTAATTCCTTTTCTGCAGGGTAAACAAATACCATATTTAGCTGCCTGAATATTTCTGCTACCCTGCACTTACTGGTTCCTTAAACATATACATTAAGAAAACAACACACACACACACATGTTGTAACAATGTTCTGACTTTGATGTTTACAAATTAACATAAAAGACAACATTACTTTTAAGACAGAAGATTTTTCCTATAAAACAGAAAAGCTAACGTGGTCTAAATGTTGGCAAAGTTAATCATGTGAAACCCAACTGAAAAAAGTACTTTCTGTACACTGTGTATATATCCAATTCAGATAAGCTTTTGAAGATTATATTCTAAGCAATCAGAAAATGAACAAAACAAATACATAATTTAAATGCATCTCTAGCTGATTAACTACAAAGAATAAGCTTCATATTTTTAAATATTTTGGTGGCTTAGTTTCTGCATAGATTTTGCTTTTCTTCAACTATTTTAGAAAAATGTAATTGGAATTTCTCCTGCCAGGACTTTGTCACAATTTAAAATAATCTGCAAAAGCCTCCAGTGGTATCCTTAAAAAACTGGAGCATGCTGTAGTTGCATTAACTTAGCCTGATGGGTAGACTGCAACGAACACTAAGCAATTTATCATTGTTGACAGGATTCATATGAAATTTACCCTCAAAGTAATCAGTCACACAGCATAAAATCTCACCAGCTATAGTTACCCAGAAAATTCTGTTTCATACCTAAAGCTATGTCAATTCAGGAAATAAAATGCCAACTCTAAGTTAATATTTTAACAAATCAACAATTACAGTTTTGCCTCATTTTCTAATTGAGAGAGGATGTGCTGGGAGAAAGGAGAACGGGTCTCAGCCCTGCAAGTGAATGATGCCGCAGTGTCCCCACCAAGAGTATCACCACCTTTACTGGCTGTGGTGGAAACATAGCAAAGGATGAGGAAAAGACTACCTAATGCCTTCACTGGCTCAGACTTTAATAACAAGACCAGTTGTTTTCCAGGTACCCAGCCTCCTGAGCTGGAAGACAGGGACAGAGAGCAGAAGGAAGCTCCTATAATCCAAGGGGAAATGGCCAGTGACCTGATACACCACTTAGACACACAGACAAGCCTATGGGACCAGATGGGATCCACCAAAGGGTACTGAGGGAGCCAGTGGAAAATGCTCACCAAGCCACATTCCATCATTTACCAGCAGTTCTGGTTAAAGGGGAAAGGCTCAGGTACCTGGAGACTGGCAAATGTGACCACCATCTACAAGAAGGGCCAGAAGGATGATTTAGAGGCCTGTCAGCCCAACCTTGGTGCCAGGGTAGGTCACGGAGCAGGTCATTCTGAGTGTCCCCACATGGCATGTGCAGGGATCAGGCCCAACCAGCACAAACACAGGTTTATGAAAGGCAGGTCCTGCCTGACCAACCTCATCTCCATCTACGGCCAAGTAACCTGCTTGGTGGATGAGGAAAAGACTGTGGATATGGTTTACCTAGACTTCAGGAAAACCTTTGACACTGTTTCTCACAGCATTCTCCAGAAAAAACTGGCTGCTCAATGTGTGGAAGAGTGCACTGTTTGGTGGGTAAAAAACAAGTAAAAACCCTCCAGACTGGTAAAAAAACAAGTCAGGAAGCAGCACTTTGCAAGGAGAGAACAGTCAATGCAATGTATTTTTTGGATTTGGACTAAAAAATGGAAAACTGAACATATGTGCCCTTCAGTAAAAATCTAAAGATACTTTCAGGAACTAAAGTTGAGAAATAAAAAAGAAAATAAAATGTACTATAGATTTATCTGTAGGTATGCATCTAGGAACTACAGTTGTTGAGGCAGAATAGTCAGGTATTTCTGTCTGGTAAATAAATGCTACAGCAGTTATAACTAATCTATACATCAATACCATTTGAAAAAGCAACACATGATATTATATTGCAGAAAATGGGGGTTAGTAGGATGGCTGGAAGATGTGCTGTGTAAGGAATTCACTACAAATGAACTTCAGTTTTAAACACTGATTTT